TCCCTCGAAAACTGATGAATGTTTTAACACCTTGTAAATAATTTTTATACAACATGGTTTAGTTGTGAATTGGTGTTTGTAGTGTGTGTACATTTTAAATCTGATGATGGCGCTGTTGTCTCGCCGAAACGTAATAAAATAAACAATGTTTCAAAAATGTTTACTTCACACTTTGACTGATACCCAGGAAAGATAAGAATATCATAAGAAGTACACGCAGTCAGGAAAATAAATCAGGATTAAATATACAGACAATTTTTCTATTATTTTACCATTAGATTTGTTAGCCAACTTTACAAGTTTTACCTGTGGGTTTCACACTTGGAATATCGCCGCTTTGAGGTCTCTGGGGGTATTCATTAGATTGACCTGGCGGTCGTGCAAACGCTGGTCGCTGGGGTGAACCTCCTAGATTTTGATAATTGTTCGAATTTAATGTTCCAGAGCTGGGATAACCTGTTGCTCCTGTTGAAGATTGCTGAGGAAAATCCCCGCTACTGGTTTGCTGTGGCGCTGGACCTCCATTAAAGGGAGTTGCAGGAGTAGGATAATTGTATTGGCCCTTCACATGAAAATATTGTCGGAATAACACTATAAGATGGTTATTGGGTCTCAATTAGAGGGTAAAAAATGTGGAGAAATTACTGCACTCCTATGCAATATTTAGAACTAAGCTTTGTAGTTGTTTTTGCTACCCATGTCAACGTTCAACGTTTTTATATCGAAATATTAGTTTCCTATAAAAGGGTAAAAGGGTCGGGTGATACACGACGGCGCTTGTCATGAATTGGAAAAACATATTTTTACTTTCTAACAGTTTTTGTTGAGAATTTACTTTGATTTTTTTCTGTGCTCCTTGCATACAGCTCTATATAAATGACGTCAATTTTGAATTACCCTGTATGATGATTGGTGTTGTTTTTATTGCTGGTTATTAATGAACATTAGGCAATTTCTTTTCACTTTTTATAGTTTATAGGTTTTATATTTCCGGTCCAATGATATGGCTTTTATACAATCTCTCGTAATCGCCTACCTGTACTTATGTGGTAAATGGAAAGCATTCAGGATAAGTATAGTTAAAATAAAGTTTTTACCTGATATTAGGAATACGTTTAATTTTACTTACCAATATATTTGATGATAACAGCAGAAGTGCTACAATTAAACATGATTGTATGAGAAATTGTTGTCAAAACTAATTAACTTTTGAAAATAGTTCTCAGATTATTTCCAAATGTGCAATAAAATAGCAGTAAAATATTAAATACCCCATATAAGTGCATGTAAAGAACTTTTGTGAGAATCTGAATATAATGGATTGGCAAAAACCTGCTTAAGTAGTGTAGAGGAGAATTATCTTATTCAGTTAATGATATTCAAATACCAGCCTACATTTTCCTTTTGATCTCAACAATGCTTCTCTCGGCAACGGTTTTGAGTTATGCAGAACTGCATTACTAATGCGGAAAATGTGCTCATTTTTTACATCGTTACTCGGAACGAAAATTGACTTATGGAAATTATTGAAATTGCAATATTATATTTGTAATCGGAATTAAGAACAAGTGATTTTTGGTCGCAAATTTTTCAACAAACGCAATCAATGCATCCTAAATGACCCGAAATCAGAGCTAAAGCTAACCAAAAGAGATTCAGACAAAGCAACGCAACAATTGGATCACCAAATATAAACACAAATAATTCAATGGCAAAATATAACGATACAAGAGGTCCAATAACAATATTCTTTGGCCACAGCAAAATTTACGCCATGGAATGGTTTACGCTTTATACGTTACTTAAATTTATACTGAATATAATATTAACATGAAATGAAACTTGTATATAGAACCTACATCTACAATATCAGAATTACTGGTTAAAACGAAATGTTAACAACCTATAGGCCAATGTAGGAAGAAAAATTGGTTAAAGGCATGCCGAGGAACTGGAACCAACGATAAAAAATAGAATAATTTCACGTTACAAAAATTTTGAATCGCTTAGAACCGGAAGACGGAAAAGAAATCCATTTCATTTAATCATAAAATCAATAGAATTCAATTTGGTAAATAAATGGAACGCCAGTTATACAACACGTACATACTAATTACAATTACTGAATTTGAAAAACCAATATCGAACATTAATATCACAGCGTCGAGAGGAAACAGCATACAAAGTAAATTCACTGAAACAAGCTTCGCAACTATGTGTGTACGTAATTCAAACGATTTCATGAAAAAACCCTTAAAAATTACTCTCAAACTACAATAGCAGATGGACATAAAACGACGAGAAAACTAAACACTGTAATGAAAAGATGACAAATGATGAAAAGAACGGAAAAACTGGCACAAATGAAAGGCAAAGTGATAAAACAATCCACACAGCTGGACTCTGCTGAATCTTATGTAGCTAACAGGCCAAACTCGATCCCCTTTTCATTCCTTACAGTTGCAACTTACAACTTTGCAGACTACTTTAGAAAGAAGGAAACGAATTAGAAAGTTATTTTGGAATTGCTTTGTTCACGTATTTAAATTTTCAAGACTTTGAGAACATATTTTACACCCAAAAACATCACAAAATTATCATCATTGGCATATATCGACGGTTGAGAGAAATAACCGGCTAACTCACAGTCCGGTCCAAGAAGCGGCTAACTCTTGATCCGCTTCAAAAACCGGTACTGTGGTGCACTCCCTCAACGAGTATCTATTTTTCAATGTGTTTACAACGAAAAGTAAGAGCATGAAACTGAAATGACATGAAACATTTATAAAAACTAGCTTCATCAGCAACTACACAGTTTTTAAGTAGAAAATTTTGAAACTTAAAAAAAGTTAGTAGCTCTTGAATTATTTCATTATTTTAATACAATGCTTGTGTTGAAATTTTCGGCCGAATTTTTCTATGAGTTTTATCCTCACTATCCTACCAAATTTTAAAAGAATTTCTTCATTTCATATTGGATATTTAAAATTACTTGGATTTTTCAATCGTTTCAGGAAAAGTTTCCGATGTTCCCTCAAAGTTACCTTGTAAAACGATGGGGCTTCAATTTTTGAACGTCCCCAGTATTTATACTAGCAATTTTTTTATTGTTATTTAAATTAATCGTGTGAGACCTAACATGTGTACCGAGTTTCATTCTTTTACCTGCCGTCGTTGAGCAATTAAATAATAAATTATTCTTTAGCAAGCGCTCTTTTAAGTGTACCTCTGCTATATGAAACTTGTGGACCATATGAGTGATGTTTTTGAATGTAGCATATGCGATTACCATACACCATTTCATTTTGTACATATATTATGCTTACCTAGTCCGTAATGTATGCGTTCCATTTTGTTCCCTAAAGTACAAAAAAAACAGTTAGTCTTGTATTAAATTAACAAATAAAACGAAATAATTTGTATTTTATCTCTCAGTATTGGAGTACTCCTCGTACTACGTAGGTCATAACATACCCAAACTTCATAGAAAACTTTAATTGTCTTCGTTTTCCCAGATAAAGTCAGATATAATCTTTAATAAGAAGTCTAATTTGGTTTCATTTGTTCGCCTGCCAAGGATGCAATTTATAAAAGATATCTCTCTAAGGTGAATGCTTAATGGTCGTATTGTATTTATATGCAATCTTTTTTGCCTTCATTTAGTACTTTATCAACGCATCTATCAGATATATGTTTTTTTAATTCCAAGATTTAATTTGAACTTAGCAGTCATTAGTCATGGATGTATAATAATCCTTTCAGGGTTTTTATGAATTGGTGCCTGCTCAAATAATAGGAAACTACGAAAAATGCTAAAAATTCCTATAAGTAAACTTCATAAGTTGTAATTTTTTATGCGCGGTATAAATAAGTATCAAATTTGTCAATAATATATTTTTTTCTGTCCACTTCAATTATATTTTCTTCTATCCATACCGAAATAGTATTATATGTCGATACGTTGTCGACTGAGATAACATTAATTTATTTTCTGAGAGGACTACCATATCTTGTCTTTTTCTCGAATTATGATCTAAGTGAATTTCCAATAAATTTTGATTTATTAAAATAACCTAGTAGTTCTGTTGAACAATTAGAGTATTTTTTCGCAATTCAAATAATAATGAACTCGATAAAGTTTATCACTGATATGAGAGCGCTATTTTCAAGCAAATTGTTTGTGCGCTTAACAAATTATTGCCGCATCTCCGCAAAAGTTACAAATAGAGGAATAATATTAACAATAATATTTTTGTATGCTCCACTTGTTAAGCTTTCGAAATACAGTCGAAGTTTCGGTATATGCGGACCATTGCGAAAGTGTCTAAACTCTTCATAAGCAAACCCGCGTTTTGCAATGACAAATTTTTGTTTAACTTACTTTACCATTCATAGATTATTATTCAGTCTGCAGATGAAAGAATAAAACCAAACGCCTTTTTCAATCGAAGTTAATTCTGGAAAACGTTTACTAAAATATTTGGCCAAAAATAGTTTTAAACGATTGCCCGAAAATTTACCCACGCACTTTTTGTTTATTTAATAAGGAAATTAATAAACTAGTACTATACCGATCGATTATTTAAAATCCGAATGAAACGCAAAATAGAAACACTAAATTGATAAAATCCACTCCAATTATACTTCAAGCGAAATTCACTTAATGAGTCAACTTACTTATACTATGGAAAAACTAAATCCAAATAAAAGCACAGCCGAAGAGCACTAAATCTGCACCACCATGATTGATGTTTATATATAGACTTACCCCATTTGCAGATCGTTTTCGTCCACCCACTAACCAAAAATGCGCTAGATTAAGTAATACTTAGGCGAAGAGGGGCGAACGTATTAGAAGATGTGATTATTCTTCTAAGGTACACGTGAAGACGATTTTTAAGATCTACAAGTTGTTTATAGTCGGTTGCAACAATGATGAAGTAATAGAATTTAGAAGTACTATTAAATGAGGAATAATCTTGTGCTAGTTGTAATGTTATCTCATTTGGTTGCAAAAGAATAATACATTGGCAACAGATAATTTATCTTAGGGGTCCGAAAAAAGCAAAATTAATTCAATTAGAGGATTGATTTAAATTTGCCTCACTGTTCCA